AGAGGGAGAAGCAGGCTCCCCACTGAGCAAGGAGCGCGATGTGGGACTCGATCCCAGAACCCCGGGATCATGACCTGAGCCGAAGGCAGACGCTTAACGACTGAGCCACCCAGGCGCCCCTGCACTCATAACCTTTAGGTGGCTCTCAGCTTACTAGATTTGGTTACTCAAAATATTTCCACAAATTTCATGTTCCTGACTTCCATAAAATCCTTTTCGTTTGAGAAACACCTTTTGTAACTGTCCTTATTGATCACAGTGGGAAAAACTTTGGGTGCTATTTGGGGCTGAGCTTTCTTGTAATCACAAAGTAGAAATTAGTCAAAATTCTTTGCTCTGATAGCTCCTGGTGGAATTTTAAGATTTTATTTATTTATTGTAGGGAGAGAGAGAGAGAGAGCGCGTGTGTGCTAGAGAGGGAGCTCTCACGAAATGAGGGGGTAGGCAAGGGAGGGCAGGGGGCCCAGCGGGGCTCCATTCTGGGACCCTGAGATCATGACCTGAGCCGAAACCTGAGCCACCCAAGTGCCCCTCTCCTGGTGGAATTTTAAATTTGGGGGCAAAGGCTGGATGACTTGGGGTTTGGTGGAATGGACGTGTGTAGGCAGATCTGTGGCATTGCATCCCTCCTGTCTGCTGGCCCAGACTGCGCTGGAAGTAGTGCAGGGTGTGGTCGTCGGAGTACCTGGACTTGGACAAGCTTCCTGGGGTGGTGGAGGAGAGCTCTCGTTTTGAAGTGGATAATTTACAGAGTAATGAGAGGTTGATTTCTGTGCCTGTATAAGCTTTGCTAGCCTTTATTATGACTCAGGATTACTTTTTCCAGGTCTGATGTCAGAATGCATTATAGAGGAGCAAAGAGAAAAAGTATTCTCTGATAGTGAAGTAGTTTGTTTATTTATTTATTTATTTATTTATTTATTTATTATTTTTAAAAAGATTTTTTATTTATTCATCTGAGCCAGAGAGATACAGAGAGAGAGCATGAGCAGGGGGAGAGGCAGAGGGAGAGGGAGAAGCAGACTCCCAGCTGAGCAGGGAGCCCGATGCGGGGCTCTATCCCAGGATCCTGAGCCGAAGGCAGACGCTTAGCCATCTGAGCCACCCAGGCACCCCTAGTTTATTTATTTTTAAAGATTTATTTATTTGAGAGGGAGACAGAGAGCACAGGAGCAGGGGGAGGGGCAGAGGGAGAGGGAGAAGCAGACTCCCCGCTGAGCTCAGAGCCCTTTACCACCACCTGGATCCTGGAAACTACCCTCACCACCCCCTACCCCCAGGTCATGACCTGAGCTGAAGTTAGAGGCTTAACTGAGCCACCCAGGTGCCCCGATAGTGAAGTAGTTTAAAAAAAACTGAAGAATTCCACCTCGTGATGAGTATTTTTATTTGTTTTCTGTTTTTTGGTTTTTTTTTTAAAAGATATTATTTATTTATTTGATGGAGAGAGAGCACAAGTAGGCAGAGAGGCAGGCAGAGGGAGAGGGAGAAGCAGGCTTTCCACTGAGGAGGGAGCCGGACGTGGGGCTCGATCCCAGGACGCCAGGATCGTGACCTGAGCCGAAGGCAGACGCTTAACTGACTGAGCCACCCAGCCGCCCCGGGATGAGTATTTTTAAACTTTAAAAAAAAATTTTTTTTTTATTTTAAAGATTTTATTTATTTATTTGTCATAGAGCGCGTGCGCACGAGCACAAGCGGGGAGGGGCAGAGGGAGAAGCAGGCTCCCCCTGAGCAGGGAGC